TTGGGTCACCATTGATCGAATACTATGACCCAGGAAGTCATTATACATATCACCAGTTAATTGGAATAATAACAATAATCATTGCTTATAATTAGTTGAGAAAAATTTAAGTATTAACTTAAAGGAAAAATGGTAAAATATTTATTTATAATCCTTCCATATTGATAGAATGATCTCTTACATAATTTTTTGTAGCAATTCAAAAGTAAATTAGCTTGCTGACAATGAAAATATAAATATAATAAAAAGATTAATTGTATTTAAATTTATCTACCGTCAACACTGGATAAATTCGATAAATACAATTTTTTCAATATTCTTAGCTAAAATTATCTTTTTAAAAAATTTATTATTGAAAAATATTGAAATAATAATACTATTGAATGAAAAAATTTGAATGTTATTATAATTGGTTAACCACATTTATTAATGAAATAGAATAAGTATGAATTAGATAATAAGTGGAAAAATAAATAATAACCATAATAAATTAGAAAATAAATAAATATTTGTGATTGTTGTAATAAAAAAAACAAAGAAAACACAGCTGTTGTTGAAGACTTGATTTTATTCAGAAATAAAATAAAGATAACAATTTGGAAAATCTTTTATAATCATTTATAAACACATATTAAAACTATAAATAATGTAAATGGATAAAATCTAGTATAAAAAACTGGTATTTAGTAAGAATTATGATATCTTATTATTTCAATAACTTACAGCCAGATCCTATTTCAATACAAGAAGAAGAAAGATGAACATTATATATAAATTTATGAATGAAATGAGGGCAAATTCATGCTCATGCTCCAAAGTTCAAGAGCTTGAAGAAGTGCTCTTCCTCTCGCTCTTCCCTTATAATTAATTCTCTTTTAAGATTTAAAATTATGTTTAGCTCCTTATCTACTCTTAAATTTTTTCTATTACTCCCATCCAATTTGAAATGACTAATTCTTGGTGCTTCCCATAAATTAAATAAATGAAAAAATCTTTTTTTAAATATTTGAATTCTTGCTCCTTTTAACAATGGAGGATTAGATGATTTATCTATATTTTGAGAAAAGGATAGAGAGCCGAAAGTTTTCTTCGTTATTCAAGAGTTTGTGCTCATTTGAGACATTTATTTCAGCCTTGCTCTCTAAAAACTAAGCAAATGATTTTTCTGGAGGAAAAGCATAAACTGTAAAGTAATATGAAGGAAATTTGAATTAAATTATGATAAAGCTTAAAATCATTTTCATTATTTAGACCTCTCATTCTATATTTTAGTAGGAATCCTATCTCTATAAATAAGAGAAAAAATGAGAATTATATAAATTAATTTTTTTTAATAAATTAGAGCAATTCATACTTCTGTTCTAAACTTCTATGCTCTTAAATGTTTATAGTTGTTTTATTTTAGATTTAATCAACTTCTTTTTAATTTTTGAATCTCTTTTCTAACATTAAATTGTGAATATTTTCAGCTTTAT